GGGAACCCACAGTAAAAAAATCACACATTTCTAAAGTTGATCAAAAAAACAAAAAAACAAGAACTTTCTGTTATTTAATTGTTTATTAATTGTTTACATTAGTGCTGTATCAGTTGTCTTCATCTCGACTCAACAAATCCTCCTTCCCCATCAGACTCTTGAACAGCTGACCTATTTTAACAGTAATAATCATTTTTGCACATCAGGTCATCTCTCGTATCAAAGCAGCATATTGAGCTCTTCTGCACATAAATCTGTTTAAAACTTTTGTCTCCATTTATTTATTCATGCTATTTGTATTTTATTTAGTTGTACATATTAACCGGCATCTGTGTGTGGACAGCAGGGAAAGAATTTCATTGTACGGAGAAATGCTTTTCTTTGTACACATGACAATAAACGCTTCGAATCTTAAATCTTCATCAGAATGAAAAACCATAAAACTTGTGAGAATGGTAATATCACATCTAACGTTCGCCTTCAGGACAGTACAAACTTTAATCTCATAGATTATGGAAAAGTGCATGAAAAGAACTACTCGCTGGTTCTCTGGTAACTTCCACACACACACTCACACAGGTACCATGTGTGCTGTAAACAGGCAGCCATCCTGGCGTGTCTGTTCTTTCCATTGGCCTTTTTAAGGTCACTCCTTCATCCCAGTACACGAACAGAGCTCACAGGTCACCAATGTGTTTAGCTGCATTGACAGTCTGATTAAAATCTTCAAGTTTGATATGAGACAATTTCAAAAGCAGAGCTCAAGGATGACGATGAAAATATTCAAGAGGATTCCTTTACAATGCTCTACGACCAACTACAAATGAAGCTCTTCAGATAAAAGGAAGCATCTGGCTTTTATGGGCAGATCACCAAACTACTTATTTTTTTCTTCCTCCAGGTGTTGTTTGGTAACATCAACAAGGTGATTGTGGGTTAATTATCCAAAATGAGAACAGGATTTCTACAACTAAGATCCAAAGTATGCTCGCAATTATTAGGCGTGCATTCGAGTAGACCAAAACAACATGCAGCTGATGCAACAATTCAGAGTCCTTCTGCATAAGAGCTATCTGTTGTGTGGTCAGCTAATGTGGATTAATGAAAGGGGAAATGTATTAGCTAGCTCAAATTAGCAGGCATCCTGCTAGCTGAAAAAAGGAGCAAGAAAGGACATCTGCTAGGTGCTGTCTGAGGAAACCACCTTAGCATAGAAGAGTCTTTGGATGCAGTAAAGACATGTGAGATATTATGAATGGCTAGATTAAACAGTGCCTTGGAGAGGTGTGGCTTCTCGCCTCCATGCGGAATTCCTCACAGCATAGTCAGGCACCCTGTGCAAAAACAAAAAGACGCAGAAGAGTAAGTTACAAAAGCCATAGGAGGGTATCCATCCTGCTGGATTATTCATTATCTCTCTTTCAGAATACCTGCATCCTTTTTGAAAGCCAAGAAAACCCAAAGTGCATTCAGTTTTCAGACCAAACAATGACGTCGTAGGAGAGCAGTACTGGGGTTACTGTGAAAAAAACTGTAAACATGTAAGAGGAAACCAGTAAGCATTCACTCAGCAAAAAAACTGACGATGGAAAAATTAATGACTTGTTTTTAAAAAAGTCAAATTCTTAATGTCTCACATCCTGTCTTGTTTAGACTCGGGGAAACAAAATACATTCATCTGGAAACAGCTGGATGATCTCTTTTCTTTTCTCTGGTTTGAAGAAGGAGAAACGCTTTTTATTCATGTATTGATTTAGTTTCTTACAGCGCCTCAGAGCAGAGAGACTTGAAAGGAAAAGGCAGTTTGTGGAAGTGTGAGTCCACAAATATCATCCACAGCCTCACGGACCTGTTTGGGATTTTTAAAGAAGAGTGTGTGAGAAATCCAAGATTTCAGGTCAATCTAAAAGGACTCGGAGGTTCAAACTTTACACAATGTCCTCAGCTGCCAAGCTCTCTCACATTTCCCAAACATCTTTGTGACAGAAAACAAAGAGTTCTGATGTCTTCAAGATTAACGTCATGTATTGGGCAAAAATGGACAAAAAGCCTTATAACTTAGAAATATGACTCTTACAAGCACGGTGTGTATTGGCGACATATTGAAAGTACTATATAAAGATGTAAAATATGTCACATTTGACCTCTGACCTCTACTTCAAGGTCAGTGGATTAATCTGAAGGTCAAAGTGATAGAAATGCTATATAAAGCTGTGTTTCCTTGCGCCAATATTTACTTTTACAGTCTAGGGATAGGGGTTGGTATATGGGAATTGTAACGCTACTTTTGACCTCTGACCTCTTCTCTGAGTTCAAATAAGGTCAAACTTTCGTAAAATGTCTTCACCTCATTTCACATCTGCCTTTTTTTCAAGTTGACCCAAAATTTTCATGTTGAGCTGGTCCTGGCAGATGTTTGCTCCTTGCTGAGCCTGGTTCTGCCGGAGGTTTCTTTCTTCCCACTGTCACCAAACAGCTTTCTCTGTATTATTTTAAGGTGTTTGCCTTAAAGTATGATATTCATTGGGCTGACTGTTGTTTTTATTTGATGTTAAATTCAATTGAATTGAAATTAATAAGGTTAAGGGTTAAAAAGCTCAAGTTATTAGTGTCCAGTTATTTCCTAATCAATAGCTATTATCCATTACCTACTCTATACAATACTGTTCCCAGTGATTGAGCCACCTTAGTGGAGGTTTGGCTTAATATATCTGCTAGATTTATGTTTCCTTGTCTATTTTATGCAGTGTGGCAGGTGTTTGACCTGTACAGAGAGGGGTCATGCCTGGCCCCTTTAAGTCTAGCTGACTTTAGAGCCTGCAAATGCTCTTAACACATCAGAAGAAAGGCCAAGAAGGTCTTAACCTTTTAGGTGGTTGAAGTGTGGGTCAGGAGGTTTGGCTTGATGTAGTGAGCTTGTTATTTTTTTTTTTACATATGTTTTTTTTTTACACACAGACACACACACACACATATATATATATATATATTTAAGGCATAAATCTGATCTATCTGACAGCTATATATTGACTAGGAAAAGTCAGAATGCCATGATCAATCTTGTAGTATATATAGTTATTTTAATAGATATCTAGCATTAGAAGGCATGTAGTGGGGGGAAAACTTGGATGTGCACATTTAAGCACATCACACGTTTACTGCATAACTTAACAATGCACAGACGGGTCAGGACCTGACGGTAAATAATGTTTCGTGTTCTACTGCAAACCGTGCAGGTCAGCTGTAACACAGATTTCAGGGGTTGTTTTTTTTTTAATGCTTGCCAATAAAGCTACCCTCCTCTGGATGGACCGTGTGCTCCACCTGAGCTGTCAGATATATCTATGACACGGACGTTTACTCTGTGAAAAGCGGCAGAATTTAATATTTCCCAGAGAATAAGTGAAGGAGAAAGGTGGAGATGAAATAGAGAGACACAGGGCAACTATCGTATAGGAAAGAATAATAGAGAGAGCAAAAGGACACATTTAGGTGCACGATATGTACTGTAAGAACTGATGAAGATGGTCAGATATCTGGACTTACATGTTCTTGAATTCAGTCTATTTAATCACTTTTGCTCAGTTATAGTTGAATATTGTATGTAAAATTGGTTGTATTTAAACCATTGTGAATGAGTTGTTGGCCTATAATCTGTCAAACACATTTCAATAAAGAACACTGGGGTTAGAATCTGCAGTTTTGACAAATTGACTTTTGCATATCTTTTATATATGCAGGTAAAAACATTTTTATAGTGTCACCTACATTTGAAGTGTCTTTTTCAAGCAAGATGAGACGACAGAAAATGCAAGACATTGACACAAGCATTGCATATTTTATAAAGATATCTTAAGTGTCCTAAAATGGACTGACCCTGTAACATAAAGTAGGTATAACAACGTAGAGTCAGAAAGATACTTGCAAAACAGGTAATTTTGTGTATATATCCCTTTGAATATTCTGTTCCTTTTTATATTAATTAAATAAATAAATAATAATAAATAAAGCCAAACAGAAACATCGACATTCACTATTTGGAACACGCTCACTTTCTGGCACTACACCTCAGCTGTAGACCTCCCTTTTTTTAAGCGGTACGGAGGCTGCAGTTGTCAAATGTCTCCAGCAGATGGCAGAAATTCTCTGTCAAAAAGAGGAAAATGGAGCTTAAACAACAGCCCATTAATTATATTTAATTACATAATAACTGTGGCTGAGTATATTATACAGAAACAATTTTAACATTAAAATAAACTCCAAATACTGAAAGACTTTGACGGAAAGATTTATTTTCTTTTGGTCGAATTGCAAATTACCACCAGCCTGCTAGGAAATGGCTTCACGACAGGCTTTACGACACCATCTACTCGCTTTACAACTGTTTTGGAGGCTCATTCAAAATGGAGTAGATCTTGAAGAAGTTAGGGTCAGCGGATCTAGCTTCATTTTCGCGTGGGTTTTACAGCAGTATCTTGTTCCTTAATAGAGTATTTGTAGCCTCAGAAAAATGACAGAAGAAAAGAAGACGGGCTCTTTGGGGTTCTTCTCGAGCTACGACGATTTGAGCGACAGCAGCAACGACAGCGATTCGGATGACCAGGGGGGAAGCCGAAAGAAGAAAGCGGGGACCGAAGCCGAGGGGAGCGCTCGGTCCTCTCTACCGGGAACCAAGCGAGATGCCGGCGGAGCTCCGTTACCCAAACCCGACGAGCTGTTTCGCTCCGTGTCCAAACCCGCTTTCCTCTATAACCCGCTGAATAAGCAAATAGACTGGGACAGCCTGACGGTCAAAGCCCCGGAGGAGGTACAAATACATGTTGAACTGCGGTTAATATGACCACAACAAGCACGCTCTGATGTGCTAGATGAGTGTAAACACTGTACGAGCCACAATTAGCAGATTATCGGCTTCACCTGTGCTAGCTCAGGCTGCCCAGTAGTGGTCGCTGTTTCTTTGCTTGCTGATGCACACAGTGTAGCTCTATCTGCAGTGGTTGGTTGGAGACGTTATCAGACTTTTGTAACGATATTCATATGTACAGGCTGTGCAGAAGTATTGAGCCATATTCATTTCCTCATAATTTACTTCCATAGAGCCTTTCTAAGTGGTCTTCAGCAATAGTTCTTCCAAACAAGGTGTGTCATAAGCGGATGAACCAATCTTGTGTCTACAGTTAACAGACAACTTGGCAAAGAACCGATTTTAAATAGAATTTTTAGGCACTTTGTTACGATCAGCCTGTTGAAAAAACATATTATTTGTTAATTTCTTCGGATGACCCTATGAAAATGCCAAAGAGTGCACAGGTTGACAGTATAAAATAGTGTCTTTGCACCAATAAGGTGATTACCAAAGAGCTAAAAATGTGATGGCATGGTGTGCAGAGTGTTGTTAAAAACTCCGTGGAAGCTGAGGCCACTCAAATAAGTGGCAAGTCTAACAAAACAAATAAGAAAGGCATCATCTACAGCTGATGAACTGTATCTGAAAATCGTGTTCTTAACAAGTAGGAAAACAAATCCAGCAAGGGCCTGACACAAGACCTGAGAGAGAAATCTGGCCCTGTAGTTGGTCCATCTACCGTTTGCCAAAGCCTCATCAGAAATGGTCTCGGTGGAAGGGTTGCTGTCCAGAAGCCATTCTTAATGAAGGAAAGGAGGAGAAAAGGTTGAGGTTTGCCAGATTACACAAGAACTGGACTGAAAAACAGGGAGGGATGAAAGACTTGAAAATCTTGGTTTAAATTGGAGGTGGTCAGGAGAGAGGTACAATGGTGACTGTCTACAGTCATTAACAGTCATAACCATTGTGTTTTGATGTGGACTTCAAGAAACCTGAAAAACTATCCCTTTAGGCTACTTAAAGAATTTAAAAGGAAGCTAAAGTTGTCTAATATTGATGCTTTTCAGCATCATTTTTGACTTGCATGCCGTATTTTCATTTGTGTTTGCACATGTTCCAATAAATCGCTGTAAATATTTTGCAACATCTAAAGAATTGAGGTGTAGCTTGAGACTTTTCCACAGTCTTGCACATGTGTGATGTCATTCTGGTGCATGAAAGATGTTTTTCTGTCTTCTCTCTTTGCAAGTGAATGAGGCCAATAGAAACGATGTTAGGAAGACTTTTCATTATAACGTAGTGCAGTACAGCAACACCACAAGCCATAACCTCAGTGTTAACAAGTCAATATATATCTACTGTGAACATTATAAAGTGATTGAGTGATTCACATATTATAATAGTTATATTTCTTGTTTATTTTAAAGAGAATTTACTGTCTTTAATCTCTTATGGAGACTAGCTATGATCACCTTTGCTGTTTGACTTTCTCTAAACCAATTTTCCACTTTTTTTCCCTTGAAGGCTGCCAGAGAATTTAAGCCGTGGAAGACAAATGCCGTGCCCCCGCCTGAAAGTTACACTGCAGAGCCAGAGAAGAAGAAAGGACCTCCCCCTGGAATGGACATGGCTATAAAGTGGTCCAATGTGTACGAGGACAACGGGGAAGACGCACCGCAAGCTTATACAGGCAAAGCTCGTTTTCTACCTGAAGAAGAGCAACCCTCAGACTCTGGTGAGTTTCAGTTTCATTCTCCTCATCACAGCTCTTTTATACCGTTGTGCAATACCCACAGGCTTTAAAATCCCAATAAATTTTGATGTGTATTTAATCCTATGTTATTTGATAATTTGGCAAATTAGCAAGAAAGTATGAACTTGTGATAAGCAAAAGAACTACATGGAAATGAAACAAGGGCAATACAGTAGATACCAGAGGTGAACATTGTGTTAATGTTTTCAATTTGTTGAAAAAGTTGTGTGTGAGGATTTTTGGACTTCTTCAGAGAAGAGCTGGAAGTTGTTAACAAAGATTTATTTGATTTGCTGCCACAAAAATGTGAAATAAATGATACCAAAAACTAAATAAAAGTATCAGATTATAAATGTAAACATCTGTTTCAGGCCAGTCTTTGTGTGTTTAATCAATACCCAAAGATGCGAAGCATAATATCAGCTGCATCATTCCACCTACGTATTTCCATCCAACTATATGTAACAAATGAGTGCAATGCAGTAAAATAATGAGGGCGTTTGCTCTGCTTTCTGCTTTGCACCTGCTTGGAAAATGTGGACTTGTTTATTTAAACAATGTGCTGTTGAGAAATAATAATAAAGATTATGTTTTACTCTCCGTCCCTCTACAAAATCCCAAATCCATCCAACTCGTCATCTGCTGATCAGATGAGGAGTCAGAGAAGCCAGGGCTGTCTGCCAAGAAACGGCGAGTGGAGACCTTCCAGCAGAAGGAGAAGAGGAAGAGGGACTTTGGACAAGCCACATCTGACAAGAACTTTGTTGAAGAAGAGAAAAGGATCCTCAGGCAAAAGATTGAGTGAGGACCAAACTTTCTGCACCCAGGAAATTGTCTGCAATGTAAATCTTTTCCATCAGCAGGGAGCATTCACTGCATTAGAGCATGCAATCATAGAGCGTTGTTTTATCTGTATGTACATGTTTTAATTTGAAGCAGTAGTTTGTTTTTTCAAGACTGTGAGCACATAAGAATTTTTTGATTTGATTCAGTTTGCAACATTGTTAGCAGTGCTTAAATTTATCAGACCAGCTGCCATAAGCACAAGAACATCTGTGAAAAACTTGTTTAAAGCTCAAACTTGTTGTAGTTTTTTAGGTAAATGACAAACTGAATTCACACTTTTATACCCAAGTCTGAGCCGGCACACTGAACTACAATGACAAGTCGGAAATGATCGATCCCGCTACGAGGCCCAAATTATAAACCACTAACACCATTGTTTCTGTTCAGGAGTGCAGGTAAATAACTTTGAGGTGGCATCTTAATCAAAAATAATAATTTACTGGGTTTTTTCTGCTTTTCAGTAAAACAGTTTGAAAATTGCTGGAAAAAATAGTTATGTATTTAACACTAAAAATATAATTCAGAATAAAGATGGATTATCTGTTACAGAAACATAAAATGATTTTGGTAATTCCAATATCTTTCATTTGGGGGAGCTGTGGTATAAGCCTTACTCTGGGTAGTGGTCTAATAAATCTTTTAAGCACTGTATATCATGTAATATCAAAAAACATCATTTGATGGCCCCATTGCAAAGGCTAAAGGCTAACAGCTGTGATTTTGGACTTAATAACAAGCTAAGGGGGTATTTTAAAGGCACAATGATAAAGGATATCACAGCTGTACAAAAGTGATCATTTCCAAACAATTAACGTTGTGAGATTGTTCTTGTTTGACTCTGCTGGACTTCAATTATTCACCAGGATTGTTTTTAGTCATAGCCATTAGGCCTGAAGGCCAAAACATGTTGACTTGTAAGTGTGTTTACTTCCTGTTTTATAAATTTAATTAAGTATAATAACAGTGATGTTTGGCTGTGGTGGGTTACTTGGTCTGTACTTTGTTTTGTGTTGTATACTCACTGCCCATTCACCACCAAAATATGATTGTGTGTTGTTCTTTGAAATCTGAAATTGCACCATTCCCCTGTTGTTCCTGCTTATGGCCACTAGATGTCGCCTTTAGGCTACACTGAAACTCCATCAATGTTTATGGTGAGGTCAGCTGTGTGACTGCTACTCAAATTACAATCAGGAGCTGTGTATATATGTTGTGTCTGTCAAAAAGGGAGTGGCAATCTTTGATTTGGAAGTTTGTGTCGTCTCAGTTTTCTTGAGGTGCTTGTTCCATTCAAACTGTTGATTCAGTGTCATGTACCAGGGACTACAACAGGAAATAACCTCCTATATGTTTATTTAGACTACGTCGAGTATTGGAACACGTATTTCTTTGTGGATCTTTTATTTCTTCCAGCAATTCTCTGAATTCAGTGTTACGGTATATTTATAGCTTTCTGGGCAACATAAACCATTGAGGCAATAAAATTGTTTATTGAAAAGAGTCATTTACCTTTTAAGTTGCAAAGTCTGTTTATTTATTGAATAGCTTATTTGTTTATTTTTTAGCCATTAAGTTTTTTAGATTTGTGTTATCAAAGCAACAGACTGTAAAACTCACAATCCATTTTTTAGGTTCCTGTGGCCATTGGAGTAAATATAATGGTTTTCCGAGAATTGGGGAAAAAAAGTTTCCACTTTGCAACAGTTTAGTGATCAGAGGAATTCCTGGTCTATCTGTCATCATGGGTTGACATGAAATAGTGGTGAATATGCTTCTGATAAAATTCCAGCCTCCAGGTATGTGCCTGGCCTTGTCTGAAATGTGTACCAGGGCCTGCAGAACAGCAGTGATGAACTGATTTTTATCAGCTGTATTTACGCACAAATAACCCCTCTCTGTACTGACTGAATGAGCAAAGACCAGCGAGGTCATATCCATCAGTGTTTAGGAATTATTCATCTCATTGTCAGTCTGGAAATTTCCCAGGAGATGGATGTTTTGCAATGCGTTGCCTTTAGAAATACAATTCCAGCTTAGTTTTTGTGAGGTTTTTTTGATGCTGTTGAATTGTTTCTGTCTTTGATATGATATCCACAGCATTCTTTGACTTGAGCCTCTTTGTCTTATAGAGATCATTTTACCACAGGAAAGCATTTTTCATCCCGCCAGCAGTCACACATGGCTAACCTTATCCTCTTATCTTTAATGAAAGAGAACATATTAGTGTTATGTTACACACTTTTAACAAAAACAGAATGAATGCAGCAAAACTTCACTTAAATTCTCAATATCTAAATCGCATTTTAACAATATAACATTTTGTGGTCATTTGAAGGAATAAAACAGTACTAATGTGAAGTTAAATTGCAAGAGATTTCCAGTTACGGCTGTTCCCTGGATCACTCTGCTCATTGAGGAGTGTGTGTCACTCTAACCTTAGATCACTCTTGACACATTTACTGGAAGGTCAAGACCTCATCATGACCACCGAGTATTCAGGGGCCTTTACTAAGCTGGCTCCCAGCAGCTGCTGCTACCTGACTTATGACATTTTCACACTGTCAGCACAATGTAGCAGCTTGTATGTAAATGTAACCATGGCTGCTGTCTGGTGCTGCTGGGAAATTGGGGCCAATGAGAGAAAGAATACACCTAACAGCAGCTAAATGCAACTTCACATGTACAATATATACCAGGTTGATCATCTTATGATTGGCATGATAGCGCGGTGGTTGCTTTTTCTTTTTTCTTTTCTTTTTACACAGACACGCAATAAAAGACAACTCAGGCTAACTGATATTGTAGCTGCATGATCTAAAATATTTTATAATAGTTTATCCATTAGTTGTGACTGCTCGTGACAACAGAGGGAAAGTAAATTTCCTTTTAGGAGTTGTAAATGTCTAGAGAAATTTATCGCAATCCTTCCATTACTTGTTGAGATCTTTCACAGTTGACCAAAGCTGTGGACTGACTCACTTTTCCATCCACGGTGTCATGCTGCTATAGTGGCAGACTTTATGGTTTTATTTACACTCTCCACACCATGCTGGTCAACGCACTCACCGACGTCCCTAAAAGCTCCACTCATCCCTGGATGTTTTCTAGAGGCAAACAGCTGCTTTTCACACCAACAATCTGGTGTGGCCAATTGTGTCAAACAGATGTTCAGCAGAAGAGAAAATCTCCTAAGACTTGGGAAACAAATACAATTTTCTGCCTTGATCTGAAGTCAAGTCCTGTGCAAAAACCGTGAGCCACCCTCTCATTTCTTTATGGGCAAAAACCTGGTCATTTCTTGCATGGTCTGCAGTATGTCTTTAAAAAATTAGGAAACTAAAGTGAAGTGAAGTGGAAGACAGAAGAAGAAGCGGTAGGCATTAAGAAAATCTATCTACAGCGCATGAATAGTTTGTCAAAGTCAAGTCCTTAAGAAAGGGGAAAAATCCACCAAACACCTGAGATAGAACCCAACAGATGCAGCAAGGCCCTCCTGTTGATTCATCTACTGTTTGCCAAAGACTCTTCAGAATTGGACTCACTTACAGGGTGGCTGTCAACAAGCCATTCTTAGTGAAGGGGAGAAAAGGGCTGAGGTATGCCATCACAAAAGAACTAGAAATCATGGCAACAGGTCTTATGGAGTAATGAATCTTAAATTTTACATTTTGGTTCAAATCACCATCACTATGTACAGAGGAGGTCAGGATTACTTCTATGAATCACCACCTTACCATAGTGGTGGCATTTGTGTAACAATGTGATCCCAGGTGCTATGTAATTGACTTTTCCCCCCTCGTAGTCTTCCAAGGAGAATTGGTCCTATGTAAGAGTCCAGGCTTTGCTCCACTCTGGCGTAAAGCCTGGGGAGGGAGCACAAGGCAGAGGACCTGATGAATAGTCCTTAGCCCATGGAGCTGGTTGGGCATAATCTGAAGAGGCAACGTGTTTGATCAGGATACATGACAGGCTCAGCATGTCAAAACATGTAGTCAGGGTGCACTGGGAACATCTAGCCTTGGCTCCAGTTCATGCGATTTTCAGCTTCTACCTCCAGCAGACCTTTCTAAGCATTCCAAAGGAGGTTTGGGACACCAAGTCTGAATGGGCCGTCTTCCACACCTTGATTGCTTAGGTGGCTGTGCACAGCTATGGTTAAAGGATGGTTGGTGCCTGCCATGGTTGTAATCCCCAAACCAGATGATGGAAACTGGAGGTGGACAGAGCCATCAAGCTGACAGGTACTACGTACAGCTCTGGCAGTAGCTGAAACAAAAACTCAGGTGTTTGAGGAGTTGGATGAGGCCTCGAAGTGATTCTGTCAAATGGTCAGGTGACTTGGAAGGTGAAAGCAGTGCTCTATTCACACTGTGTACAGTGGGAGTGGTCTCCTGTTGACTTTAGCTGAGGATACAGATGGACGATAGAAGGATTACTTCAAGGATCTTCTCAATCCCATTGATTACCTTCTGTAGAGAAAGCAATGGGAATGAGGGAGATGACTTGCCCCATCACTGGGAGGGAGGTCACAAAAGCAGTTAAACAATTCCTTGGTGGCATGGTCTCTGGAGTGGATGAGTGTGGCGGAGGTGTGGTCCCTGGCTCAGCTGCTAGGGAGGGGTGGTGTAGTGAGCTCAAGGGGCAGTGTCAGGGAGGTTGGAGGGACTGGTGCACAGAATTAACTAATGAGGTTTCTCCCTTATAATATAGCGAAGCTGGAGTCCAGAGAGAGGTGTGTGTGCTGGAGTCCAGCTAAAAAGCGGAAGGATTCAGGTGCTGAACCTGAAGAACCAAAAACAGTGTTGTGATCAAATAAAACTGACAAATAAACACAGTACGCTGTGTTGGATTGTGGTCCTTTCCACAATGAGATTCACCCTCAGTTCTTTCAGGCTTTTGTGGGTTTGTCACATGGAGATCTGGAATGGTGCCTCTGGTATGGTAGAATAGGGTGGTGGTTCTTTATATTAGGGAACTAGAGGGTGTCCTCCTTCAGGGAGGGAAGAGATCCAGCTCCAGATAAGCAGCAGATAAAAAAATGGATGGATGCTTGGTTGGTTGAATGAATCAGAGGTGTTGGGGATCAGATTTTGATCCACCATGGAATACCATCTGGAAAGGGTCTGATTGGCAACAGCTTCATTTGTAGCCATGACATTGATCCCAAACCCACTGCTAGTGTAGAAAAAGCATGCTTGGATAGAAAAACACACAGTGGAACACTATCAGCCATGGATTGGCATCCCCAGAGCTCAGATCAGTGGATCAGCCTTATAAAGAACAACTCAAAAAGGCGCCCGATATCCAAAGAAGAGATTTATAATGTCATTTAAAATAAAAAATTTAAAAAAGGAAAACTATTCCTGAGGACTAACTAAATAAATTTCAATATTTTGTGGGACAGGTTGCGCTGAAGATTAAGGGGTTGCCATACCAATTATTGACTCCTAAGTTTGTTAGAATTGTACTGATGATGTTTCGCCTTATTTCCATGGATGGTTGCCCATTTCCATGAATCCCTGCAACCATTCCTCATTTCCTACAAAAGTATAAAGAAAAGATGTGTGGCTGAAAACCTTTACACAGTAATGTACATTTGGATCACATTAATGATTAATATTAAATTGTTGAAAATATATACTTTTAGAGAAAACTATAAAAGAGCAAAATTACTGCTTTACTCTGATCAGGCTTTATCTGTTATAAACCACAGCGTCTTTTCTCATAGCCTGAGCACGGGGTGGTCAGACTGTAACATAATATTGCAGTTTACAGTAACATTGTGGTGCTGACCACTGATTGCAGCCGAATATTTCCAAAAGATGTTTGAAGCTTGAAAAAAAAAGTTCCATTCCTTTATACCACCAAGAACATCTGTGAAGGTTTTTAGAGAAGAGCAGTGTCATCAGAAAGACAAATAAAGGTTATAGCGGCAGAGTAAAGAAGGACAACAATCTGAAATCTGAAAAACTAAAAGACGTGGGATTCTTTTATGGGTTGAGACTCAAACAAATAAACTGCCACAATACACAAGCAAAGCTGTCATTTAAGTTTATAGACAGATTATTTTTCTGCTACACATTGGATTGACTAAAGAAACTGAAAATATATTCAGCTTTCAAGACACTGAGCACCATCTTAACTCAAGTGTAGAACCTTGGATGAGAGATAATACAGCTTGGATAATACACAGTGATTCTGTGCTGGATCTGACAGAGTGAGCATGACAAGACGGCCGTGAAGCTGTCAGGGACAGGAACGTACTTTCACACTTCTCCGGTGATAGAGAACAGTAGCAGAGATAAGAAGACTGAGCTCTTGTCATGATAAATGTCAGAAGTTGTCTCTTGATAACGACGCGGAGCAGACACCAAAGACAGCCCAGTCTCCCCAGTCTCTCTCTGTTTGTGTGTGTGTGTTTGGGGGGTGCTATCTATGGGTATCCTATCATTTTGGCCATTTGTCCTTAATTCATCCAATCAGACCAAAGACAGTTTTTTTTTTCTTC